ATAGCATATTAGTGATCACGGGTAACTGTCTTTTATCAAATCACCAATGATCATGCCAAAACGTCTCCGATAACCCTAGAATCGTTTCGAATGATTTGGAAAATACGCAAACACGAAAGCCGAAGTGAACTTTCCGCCATATTGGATAGTGTTTACAAAATCACGTTTACGGTACACCGGTGATGAGACGCCAGTCACATCGCGTATATTTTAAACTTAGCTGCTGTACATACATCCTTGAATTTCTCATACATTTTAGAATCAAATGACCAATGGTCTAGATGAAAATCAAGCAAAATAAATTAGGTGTGAAAACGAACGCTGTGCTTAAAAACTGCACGTGTTTGAAATGTAAACAAAGCAAAATTCAGATGTTACACAGAGTAGCATTTCTCCTATTTTAAGCTATCCATTCGTCTATTCGTTCAAGCGATTGGCTCAACATTTTCAGAATATGCTTGGGAAGAGAATGGTAGGAAGAATTAGGGAATTTAAAATAGAAATATTGCAATGATTTGATATGTTCAACAGAAATTTCTTTTGGTGGCATTGGAAGTTGGAATGGTAACTAAGACAAAATTGTTATGGATGAGCAACTTCTTTATTACAACTAGGGCGACGTTTCGGTGTAGATTCTTACACCGTTTTCAAGCAAATGATGTACAAACTAGGTATGAGCATGATATATATACATAACAATAGATAGATGTTTATATAACAGATAAGGTTGATGTACACTGATTGATTAGGTAGTTATGATAAGACAAGTTTATACAAGAGATGGGGTTGATGTACAGTAATTGATGGGTATGGGATTAAGACGATGACCCCCATAGCCCTCCTCAATCATCTGAACGCCCAACACCCAAGAATGCAGTTCACTATCGAATCCGATTCTAAAAACCAGTTACCTTTCCTTGACGTCCGAGTCCAGAAAGATCACCAAAACACGCTCCAGACCAGTGTCTACCGCAAACCAAAACATACTGACCAATACCTACATCATAGCTCAATGCAAACGTCGCCCTAATTGTAATAAAGAAGTTGCTCATCCATAACAATTTTGTCTTAGTCAACAGAAATTGTCAAAGTTATCGTCCTGTGTGACGTCATGACTGACGCAAAATCACGCACAACGACAACGGTATTTATCGGAATTTCTGACTATTTTCGTTGGTTTCAATGAAAGCTATCACAACAATTAACAGTATATAGATTGTCAGAATGTTTCTGATTACTTATATGTCACATTTATGTATACACCATCCCTGAATCAACGAAAGTCCCCTCGTAAAATCCCGCGTACTGATGACAGTGAACACTTCATTTTGTAAAAGTCGGTCACCGGTAGTGATGTCATTCGTCAACATTGTTGTACATATTTCGTAATTTCTTTGAGGTGAAGGTCCTTGAATGGGAGTGCACACGATCATTGTGCCATGCTGTTTACAGTTTCAGTTATGATGTAGGTTTTGCATATCTTTTATACATTTTTTCACGCAAATACTTTTACTTTTTATATTTGTCTATGTTCAAAATGATACCATACGTAAATATAGGGCACAACATGTATGAACGAACCTTTGATAATCTCCTGTTTGTTTGATTGATTACATAGGAATTGATAGGTTTATAGTGTCAAATACGATATTTCTTTCCGTTGGACAAGTGTTACAAGATGAAGTGTAAATGTAACTGCAGCATGTACATATTTCTTGGGATGTGTAATAGTCAATATTATAAGTTCATATAACAAATGTCCATGAATAGCCGTTTCATTTTACTAACTTTAAAACTAAAACTGAATATATAACTTTAATACAAAATTGATAAAAAAAAAATTGAAAGAATTGTCTTGGTCTTGGAATAGTTTTTTTTATGTCGTTTGATACACAGACCAGTGATACCTAACGATTCGCCAGGTGCGCGTAAGTCACAAACAATTTACGAATTATTCCCCTCGTTTTGCATTATATAATCAATGGGTTCATTCTTTTTTCACTATTGTGATCACAGGATATTAAACTGCTTATTTTATTTCTCCAGGAATTGTAAAAAGTATATAAAAAACCATGCAGGTACCGCGTTGGTTCAACTTTATAAGATTACCCCGATAATTCTATACCAATAGAGTTTTTTTCGCATATTTTATTGTGAAGATGAAGATAAATAATAACATAACAATGAACAAATATATGTCCAATATTGAATATAATTTTGGTTGATTTGAAATATTCTTTTGGGTATTGGATAACGTAAATTGATACCAAACAGGTGCGTGTCTTGTGCAATTATGACACACGATAAACTATCTAATTGTTTACATATTCAAGACATTATTTACTTGGTGAAAGCAGTTATTTATGTTGTGTAGAAAAAGCGTCAAATTCCGTTTTACACATCGATATTTTCCTTACCATGAGCGAAAATTAGGGGAGATATATATTAATCAAAATACCAGTGTCATCTTTCTCCGACGTTATCAAAGACATAAATCCAGCCACGACGTCAAAAGGAATGGTGTTATTTTTTGGGTATTTCATTACATTTGATGATAAGGCTAGTGCTCCATTAGTAATGGTTCAACATTAGTCAAATTACACTTACACAATCAGGAGAATGTTGGAATCTAAGGACTAAGTTATAGGTTAGATAGGGCCAAACATTTCTCTATTACCTTTTATTCTATGAAGTACGATTTTATCATTTCTTATGGGTATTTTTTATACCTAAACGTATACAGTTTCAATATCGATATTTGTGTTGGCATAGTTTGGTTCCTCGTAATCAAAACACCACTAAAATATATTGTCCTTACCTACAGCTAATTCTCACCAAGTGACTTGAGTTACAATAAACTAGTGCTAAGCATAGCGGAGTTATGCCCCCTTATCTTTGTACGTGTGTAACCTCTCTGTTGTCTTTTGACGTCATAGAGAAAAAAACAGTTTTCGTCATTTACGGCATGCTGTTTTTGGCATTGAATGTATGTCGTTATACATACGCATATAACTCCATTTGACATGTAGTTATGTCGTTCAGATATTAGGCAGTATTTTGTTCGCTCACTGTTTCCTTGAAGCTTCTAAATATAAAAAATCGTCGCACAGTACTTTTATCGGTGTACGATAAAAAGCGGAGGAATTTACTGTTTTTCAAAGCAGAATAAATTCTCGGACAACACTTAGAAGTGTCTTTTTTAAAACCGGTTTAATATTTGCAGTTAAATTTACACCATCAAATAGGAAATTTAATATTCTCCACCTCTGCGTAATTTTATAGCCAGAGGTAGATCCAGTGCCGCGTGAGCGCAATTCTCGGACAACCTTCCTTTTTCGATCTTAGGAAAATGTGCGTCAGAAAAAAACCTCGGCATCCAGAGGGTTAAGCATCGAACATTAGGGTCTATAATCTGCTGTTTGTGTACAGTGACTCTATCTTTTAATTCCATGCCGGTTTCACCGATGTAGTTTTCGCCGCATCCCGAACATCTCATAACTTACACCACATCTTTGCTGCGGCAGTTCATGTCGGTAAACCCTTGCCATTTGCAAAAAAGGAAAGCAGTACCTTCACTTATTACTTGCCCTTTGAGAGATCACCCGTTTAATAAACATACAGCTGTATTACACATTGTGTAATACCAAAACGCGTGCTTATGTACTCTCGGAACACGTTTCACGAACATATATTGAAAGCTCTCAACATCCCTTGGCTTATTCAACGACATTGTGTGTGGAGTTGATAGATCACTGAGAGGAGCTTATGCACACCCGATGACCTCAGCAACCTTGTTGCTAGGCGGACGTCACATGGCATTGTTTCGCCGAAGGATCGTGCAACAAAATTCCACAAATGACGTAAGGATTGAAGGTGGATACAAACGGGATAGTTTGATCGCCCACAGATTTTTCATTAGGTTTCAAGAGAGTATGTCTTGGAATTTTTAACGACTTTTTTTCTGTAGCGTCATTAATGACGCGCAGCGGATATCCTAGTTTCCTGAGATATCCCATCAATTCTTTCAATCTTAAGTCCCTTTTATCCGTTTCCGACACAATGGTGCATACTCTCCGCGCAAGTGAATAAGGAATGTTAGTTCTTGTATGCCTGGGGTGACAGCAACCGAATTGTAGACACTGATGGGTGTCCCTTGGTTTGTAGTTTGCCTTATTTTTGTATATATATATATATATATATATATATAGACATATGTGTGTGTGTGTGTATATATATATAAATATAAATATATATAAAGACACACACATACACACACACACAGATATATATATTATATATATATATATATATATATATATATATATATATATATATATATATATATATATATATATGTGTTATACATGTAGTCTGCTTTAAATATGTGTTATCGCGAAATTTATCATATCGATATCTTTCAACTTTATAGTTGACCCATGAAGATCCGGGGTAAAGTACACCGGCAACCAATGCTTGCCGTAAAAAAATACTTTGCTTGTCGTAGTAGGCGATTAACGGGATCGAGTGGTCAAGCTCGCTGACTTGGTTGATATATGTCATCGTATCCCAATTGCATGGATCGATGCTCATGATATCAATAACTGAATTGTCTGGTGCAGATTTGATTATCTACTGACCGCCGTCATATGCTCGAAATATTGCTGAGTGCGGCGTTAAACAAGAAACAAACAAAGAAACAAAAAAACAAAAACAAATTCATAGCTAATTCCTGGTAGCTTTTCTACAAAGCAATTGCACGCCGATACATCACGTTTGTCAACAATATCCTGTCCACTTAATTGTGTGGAATTGATGGTGACTTATATTTACTTTAGTACTTTAGTTCGTCCAAGAAATTGAAAAAAATATGCCTTTAAGTCAATGTTACGTGTATTTACTGATATTCAAATCGTTTAATTGTCAACTTTGGATACCACCTTGACCATTGTTATCGTTAGTCCAATGTTAACACCAATCAAAGATAATAGAAACTTACTCACCAGAAAGCATAACATGTGCCCAAACAGGCGACAACATTATTAGGATTTCGCTGGATGAGACTGAGAAGACTACTCACGACGCTGTCCACAATCCACTGTGTTCAGATCGATACCCCAGTGTCGTTTCAAACTGATCCATAGTATATAGATTAACATATCCGCTACATACCCGTATGTTGCGTGTTGGGTAGGGTGGGTGGGTTGGGTGGGGTTGGGGGTGGGTGGGTAGAGACCCGGAATGTTTGTTTAGGACAGATGTAGTTATCAGTGTACGCTTAAAGACATTTCTGTCTTTCTTTGAATGTATTTTAAAGGGAAAGCCAGAAATATATACCCTTCAAAAAAAGAAACTTGACATAGATGTAAAACCACTTTTTGCCAGATATCTAAAATAATTACACTAAATGAGAACCAAATAGGTCAAACAGAAAGATGATGTGTCTATAATTCGCGAAAACACATGCAAAGCACATAAACGTAGCGTTTGGGGATCAATTTTACAGCTTCATCCAAACGCAACCTCCTGTAAAAAACGTGCAGCACAGGATCCTGCATTTAGGCATGCAGGCCCCCCTGCTGAATGGGTATAAAAATCCACATCAACGGCTGTTCATACAGTCCTTATAACGGCAGTAGAGGCGGTGACAGAATGCCAAGACTGAATGCAGCTCAACGGAACAACGCCATTAGGAGATTACAAGCTGGAGCAACTCAGCAAGAAGTGGCCAGGCAATTTGGCGTATCCAGACAGACAATCTCCGCACTGTGGACCCGATACAACAACACCAACAGAGTTGACGACAGACCAAGGTCAGGAAGACCAAGGGTGACAACCAAAGCACAAGATCGATACATCCGGCTGCGACACCTCCGAGACCGCACTACCACAGCCACGTCTACAACCACACAGATCCCTGGGTTACGCAGAATATCAGATCAAACGGTACGCAACAGACTGAGGGAAGCTGGACTTTTTGCACGAAGACCTGTTCGACGTCATGTATTGACCCTACGTCATATGGCGGACCGTCTGCTTTGGTGCCAACAGAGGGTTAGATGGGCACGTGCAAGGTGGAAAAATGTACTGTTTACTGACGAGTCCCGTTTCCCACTCACACGTGCTGATGGGCGCGCACGTGTCTACAGACGTCGAGGAACGTTACGCCCCAACTGTGTGCAGTAGGTTGTCCCATTTGGCGGCGGGAGTGTCATGGTATGAGCCGGAATTCATCACGGTGGTAGGACGCCTCTCGTGCATGTGGCAGGTGCATTGGCAGGTGTGCGTTACAGAGGCTTGATCCTACAGCCTTACGTTCTTCCTCACGTCAACGTTCATGGCGGACAGTTCCAGCAGGACAACGCTCGACCGCATATTGCACGTGTTTGTTGGGAGTTCTTGCAGCACAACAACATCCAGACATTACCTTGTCCAGCCCGGTCACCAGATTTGTCCCCGATTGAGCATCTGTGGGACGAGTTGGATCGACGCGTTCGCAGAAGGAATCCACCGCCCCAAACACTTCCGGCGCTTCTTGATGCACTTCAGCATGAATAACAGCACATCCAACAGCGTGTTATTGACAACTTGATTGCATCTATGGGTCGTCGGTGTCAAGCGGTGATTGATGCACGCGGTGGGCACAACCGATACTGACATTTTCTGTACCCCTGTGACATTATCTGTATCGTGTACGTGTGTCTGTCTAGGTGACACGATTAATGTTTTGAACATTGTGTACATTGATCTTCAAACAGTGTTTCAATTATGGTTTCTGTGTCTTATTTTGAAACAATCGCATTATATTACATTTTGAAAGTCAGTGTCAAGTTTATTTTTTTGAAAAGTATATTTTTGGACCCCCAAAGATTTTTTTTCCAAAGTTGAGAAAAGTGATATTTTCACTGCAGTGAACATAACACTTGATATTTCAGTGAAACATAACACTTGGACGGAACTATTGTCATACAAGAGTTACCTCTCCGCTAATTGTCTACATTTACATTGTAAATGTCTCGCCCGTACTCAAACTGTTGACTTCATACTTACGTTAGTTCTATATTGACAAGGCAACATAACGACAGATCTAGATGGTCATTTATGTAGTTAATGTTGCCCCTTGCCGTTGGTTATTTTCAAACACGCAACTAGTTTCTATATCGCAGTTATAAGGGCTGGTGAAGCGTCCTTGCGTGTTAGGTAGGGAAAATTTACGTTTCAAAGTTTTACATTGGTAATGAAATAATTCAATTTTCCGGTACACAACTACACAAAAAATATATAATAAATAGGATATTCCATGTGTCGAGTGACGAGGGATAGAAGATATTTTTATTCGTGGCTACGATTTAAATGAAAATATCTCCTTTACCCCCGTCACTTGATCCCAGAAACGCGATATTTCACTCGGCACATGACATATCCTCTATATAATCGGCTGAATAAGCTCGGTGAACGTGGGTCAATGCTCGTAATGTCAGTCAGAGTTTTGTCTGGTTCGGGCTTGATGACGTATTGGCGACCCTCAGTTAGTAGGAATATTCGTAAAAGCGGCGTTACATAACAAATAGTGTGATACCATTTTTAATGTATTTGTTATATACACTTCAAACACACATATATACATGCCACTTCTTCAAAACCGTAAAACGGTTTCTTTTATCTCTCTTTAAAACTCATATTCTAATCTGAGTATAACCCGCGTCAGACATTTTCCAATCTTAATCTGATTAAGAATCGCGATTAATTCTACTTTGAATATGACTAAAAAGCTGTAGCTATAAAAAGAGGCTGAAGTCAATTTTCAAAGAATAGAAAATTCTCAAAATTGGCTTGTACAAAAAATTCCTGTGCGATCTTGAAAACAATTGCTGATTTGAATACAACTGTGTCCCTAAGCGGACAAACTGGGATTAAGAAATAATGATGGAATTCTGACCTACCCGAAAGCAGAAAATATGCCACAACTTTTGACGACATTCTGGAACGATGTGTGTTGAAACTGGCAGTGTCGTTCACTTACACAACCGTGTTGTAATCAATAAACCATGTGACTGTCGTTTCCAATTAAGAGCAGTAGTTATGGACAGTTGCTGTGTTGCACGTGTTGCAAATCGGACACGTGGACACCTATTCTGGGTATGATCAATAAGAGGATACACAACCACATGCTTTCCCATATTTGAAAGCAACGTTATTTCTTTTCTTAATCGGGGCGGTCGGGTAGCCTAGTGGTTTAAGCGTTCGCTCATCACGCCGAAGATCCGGGTTCGATTCCCGACATGGGTACAATGTGTGAAGCCCATTTCTGGTGTCCCCCGCCGTGATATCGCTGGAATATTGCTAAAAGCGGCGTGAAACATACTTACTCACTCACTCACTCACTCTTTTCTTAATCGTTAGACATCAAACTATGATGTATGCATGGACAATCACACACGAACTCCCCCTTGACGATTTCGTGCAACTAGCAATTTCAACTTGTTCAGATGTAGTACAGATGAACATTAAGACAAGCGCTTTATTGTATAACAGTGAGCGTCATTATAATTGTGGCAGATATACATGGATGTGAATCCAAATAGCTATTCGACAGCTGATAAATACTACGGGTCCCTGGATTGGACAGCACAAGCGATACCTTATCTGTTTATGTGAGCTGTCCATGTTAACTGTTTTGATAAGCATGAAACTATTAGCTACGTTATATACTTAATCTTATCACCCAGCCAGCACCACCCTCCGGATATCCAGGCAATACAACAACAGTGTGCTTACGTGTCTATAACATACTCTTAAAAAATAGGAACGCAATACGGATATTTTTAGCCATAAAAGCAAAATTAGTGGACCAAGAGGTGCAATATAAAGAGGTTTAATGTGTTATAGTGCAAGTGACAAATTTCCCGGATCAAAATGATCACAACAAGGACATGCAAATCATTAGTCGGGAAACACATACGATTAGGAAGAACGCACCCAGTACATTAAACAAAAGGGCCATGGAGCTGCACGTGCAGCAGCACTAGTAACGGTATTCAAGTGATGCACGTACTGCACGTGCAGCAGCACTAGGAACGGTATTCAAGTGCAGGGTTTTTGATTGCCTGGCATTTGCGTCAATCGAACAGTGACAGTTCAACAACATGCCAAGATTAACAGAAGTGCAAAGAAACAACGTCATATGCTGTTTGCAGGCAGGGGAATCCAAATCAGCTGTAGCCAGGGTTGTCAATGTAGCGCCCAGCACAATAACAAGGCTATGAAATCGGTTTCAACAGCATGGGTCAACAAGTGATCGGCCATTTCGGGACGACCGACCAAGAGTAACCCAAGATCGCTACATCCGACTTCGCCACCTACGTGAAAGGACGACCACAACCACCTCAATCGCATCCCAAATACCCGGACAGCGCAGAATCCCCGACCAGACCGTACGAAACCGTTTAAGAGCAGCAGGTCTACGAGCAAGACGTCCTGTTCGACGCGTCATATTGAGTCGACAGCATCGTCAACAACGACTGCATTGGTGTCGTCGACACAGGGTATGGGCTCAACTGCGATGGAGAGATGTCTGTTTCAGCGACGAATCAAAATTTCTCCTCATCCGAGGGGATGGAAGAGCACGCGTCTGCAGACGTCGGGGAAGAACGTGACGCCGGAAACTGCGTACAGGAAGTGGACAGGTGGACAGGTTATGATGTGGGCGGCTATTTCTCATCATGGCAGGAAGGGTTTGGTCAATATCAAGGGCAATATCACGGCTCAACGATACATTCTCCTACCATACGTCCTCCCAATTGCAGCCAACGACAACGGTATATTCCAGGAGGACAGTGCTCGACCACATACAGCACGGATCAAGAGAGCACCTGTGGGATGAATTCGATAGGCGGCTACGCCGACGTCAACCACAACCTCAGACATTGCAGCACTTGGCTTTTGCGTCGCAGGCCGAGTGGGCTACTATTCCCTAGGATGTGATTCTCATACGCGTCTCTTCCATGGGCAGAAGATGTCAGGCCGCTATCGATTCCAACGGGGGACATACGCGTTATTGATGGTAGCTGACCTTCACTTGGACCT